GGGGTATGGGGGTTGTTGCTTCAATTTATAATGATGTTTAATCTGAGAGTATTTCTCAGCGGGCGGGCTTCACGTATAACTCGTTTGAAGTAATGGCGCTTCATATAACATTGTCCAGAGAAGCACATATTAATGATAAATCCCCCATGTCGTTTGTACTGGCTACTGTATACAAGCCACCAGGGCACCATACAGACTTTATTAAAGAATGTGCTGATTTTATATCCGAGTTAGTGCTGGCTGCAGATAAAGTTTCAATTGTTGGTGATTTTAATATCCATGATGATAATGAAAAAGATGTATTGGGATCAGCATTCATAGACATTCTGAACTCTATTGGGGTCCGACCAGCTTAAGATCAGCACATGACCAGATAAGGACCAGCTTAAACCAGCAAAGGACCAGCTTAAACCAGCAAAGGACCACCTTAAACCAACAAAGGACCACCTTAAACCAGCTCAAACCAGCATCCCAGCTTCAAGACATACCTAACCAGCATATGCTGGTTTTTTCAACAGGGATACAACTAGAAAATACGACTGTTTAAACCATACTTACTTGTCTTAGACAACATACGAAATTTTACACGTTAAGCCAATAAATACAAATATTTTACTTACTAAAGTTGTATTGAGAAAATTTCTAAACTTTGTGGAGAAGCTCACCAAGATGGCTGACGACCGTCTTCTGTCTGCATGCAATGCGATAAGTGATGTTGAGAACGTGATATTGCTATTGAATTGATTCAACACCTTTTTTTTAAGTTGAGAGGACAAATACTCTCGTTCAGTCAACTTACAAACTAGTTGAGACAGTGAAAACTTAAAATTTTAAGTTGAATGAACAAATTCAGTAACTGCAAGTTGTGTCAACATAAAAAATTTAATTGAAACAACTAAACTGCTAAATTATTTTCTACAGTGCACAACAATCACGCCTTCAGTTCACCAATAAATGCTGGAATACTGTCATCAATTTGAAGAGAAGACAAGCATCAAATAAGAAGGAAGAACTGAAATCTGCAAAGACTGAGTTTATTAAAGAGGACAGAGAGAAGATGAGAGATCCAGAACCCTGCAGAATCAAACACACTGAAGATACTGAAGAACTAACAGGTTGGTGGCAATTGTCTACTTTCCACTATTACATCAGGGTTCACTTATATGTCCACATCGCTCTGCTTTTTACGAGTTACTAAAAATGAACCATTTTTTTTGTGAGTTGAATGAAGAACTGATTGAAGTGAACTCTTGACGAGTTATCTCGTCTTTTAGAAGAAAACGCTTCCCCGCCAAAGACGAGTTTTTACGAGAAGGGTGTTCCTGCACCGGAGACTGCAGTTTCAGGACCGCAGTTTTAGGACCTTATTCTTTTGTAACAGCGCCACCTACAGAATTGGATAATATAGCGGAGGCTGCAGTTTCAGGACCGCATTTCTAGGACCCTGGTGGTTTAGTTTGTAGTAATGTTTGTACATGTTGTTAAAGATATTGAATCTCAGGAACATTTTTTTTTTTCAATTGTGATTTTTGATTTTTAAATGCATCAGATGTTAATTACAAAGTGTGTAATACCTGCTTTGAGTTAACAATTTAAAATTAAAATTAATTTAATAAATGAAAAATATATTTCAGTCTTTAAACAACTGAAAAAGTGGAGTACCTTAAGTCTTAGTTTCTTGAAATATACTGTATATTGATTAGCCCACTTAACTAGCTCATTATCAGGTATAATAAAGATGGAATCAAATGAAATCTGCATTTGCAGTCACTAAATTACAGCCAGATATTTAAAAGTTTGTAGAGAGGCAAGACTCAAAAATGATACAAGAATGCATATTTATATACTGTATATACTCATTTTTGCAACAACACATAATACAACATCATAAAAAGACCCCATTTTCCATCAGTTGCTGCATGGACAGAAAGGCTTTAACTCCTGAGAGAGATTAAAAAGAGAGGGAGGGAGAATTAAATAAGAAACATTTGCTTTAACATGTTTAACTCTGTAATATATATTTCTGATTTAACACTTATGCACTGTTGGGGTTGTAGAGAGAGAGAGAGAACCAAACAGAATAATCATGTTACTGACATCTAACTCCAAACTCCAAATTTAAGTATATAAGAGCAAAACCCACCAACTGAATGTTCTCTCTTCCTTCCTCAATTGTTTGTCAATCCGGTAACACTTTCTATGAAGCCTGTATTTATAATACATTATAAGGGTTTTCTTAAGGCATTATAATTAATGCATAAAGCATTATAAAAAAGCTTAATAATATGTTGTATCATAAACTACGTACGTAAACTTTGCAACGTTTTAAGGTTATAAAATAAAACTTAATTGAAAATCGCTAAAGTTACTCACTCTGATTGCTGTCCATGTCGTCCATCATCATCTTCTTCTTTCCAGTTTAACGGCAGTTGGCATCCAGCTTATTGGTGCATTACCGCCCCCTTCTGCTCCGGAGTGTGGATCAGATAATAGGTTATCTATTCCCTTTTCCCACTGAAACTTACACATCACTCACTTTGTCCCCTCACATTAATATCCACACACATCACACATCATACAACAAATCCTGCTTAAAACCCTGCTTCCCTTAAAAAAGTCATCAATATTCTACTCTGTGCCCTATTTACTGTGCTTAGTAACCCTTGTAATGTGATCTCCTGCACCCCAATCTCCCTTAGTTTATTCTTCATTACCTGCCTCTGTGTTTCATATCTCTTACAAGTCATGATTATGTGCTCCACTGACTCCTCTTCTCGACATCCCTCACACAACCCTGTCTCGTGCTTCCCTATCATTTTTAGTGTTTTATTCAGTGAACAATGTCCCAACCTTAACCTAGTCATCACCGCATCTTCTCTCCTATTTCCAATTTCCATCCTTTCCTCTTTAACATTTCTCTGAATTTTATATAAATGCCTCCCTTTCTCCTCTCTTGCCACCTTATATTGACTTTCTCCCATATCATGCATTTAACCTCTGCTTTACTTACATTAACCTCCATTTCTATGTTATCTTTTGTTAGTGCCCTTTTAGCCAGCCTGTCCGCCATCTAATTACCCCTAATCCCAACATGTGCTGGGACCCACATAAATCTTACCTGATGTCCCTTATTAACTATTCTTGTGTTTAATTGAAGCACTTCATACAGGATATCTTACCGAGCTTTTGAATGGAATGACCTTAAACTCGCTAAGACTGATAAAGAGTCAGAGCATATCAACACCTTTCCCTGCCCTTGCATTTCCACCCATTGCAAATCAATTAAAATTGCCATCATCTCTACTGTATATACTCCTAATTTATTAGATGTCCTTTTACTAATTTCTATTTCTTTTCCTGGAATTGCCACCCCAAACCCTGTTTGTCCTGTCTCTGTTTTTTTAGCACCATCTGTATAAATTTGTATGAATTCACTATAATTACCTCCTACTCGGTTATTAAATACATTTTTCAAATTAATTTCTTCCTTTGCTTTCTTTTTCTCCTTAAGCACAAACCAGTCTACCTCAGGCCAAGCAATCTTCCAAGGGGCAATCTCTGGAAGAACTACCGTAGGGCTCATTCGCAAGTTAAACACTTCTAACTCTTTTGCTACGTTGTTTCCAATTCAACCAAAGTTTTCCTTTAAATTTCTTCCATTTTCCCTGCAGTACTGCTTTTGTTTTTTCAAATTAATTTCTTCCTTTGCTTTCTTTTTCTCCTTAAGCACAAACCAGTCTACCTCAGGCCAAGCAATCTTCCAAGGGGCAATCTCTGGAAGAACTACCGTAGGGCTCATTCGCAAGTTAAACACTTCTAACTCTTTTGCTACGTTGTTTCCAATTCGACCAAAGTTTTCCTTTAAATTTCCTCCATTTTCCCAGCAATCCTGCAATACTGCTTTTGTGGGATGAGATTCATCATATCCCTGCAATCCTGCCCAATAATTAGCCATCAGTTGAATCCTTCTTAATTCCAGTGGCATTTTGTCCATTTCCTCTTGTATAGCAGGCACTGAAGAAGTCTTAAAAGCACCCCAGCAAATTCTTAGTGCTTGAGTCTGAATAACCTCTAACCTCTTTAAAAGAGACTTAGCTGCAGACCCAACCACTATACTACCATAATCCAACACCAATCTTATCAAGGCCACATAAATCCTTTTAAGAGATGAACGACTGGCTCCCCACTCTCTTCCTGTCAAACATTTCATCACATTAATTACCTTTTTACACTTGTCCTCTATTTTCTTTATTTGTTCTGCAAATGTCAACCTCGAGTCAAATGTCACGCCCAGAGGCGGACAGTAACTAAGTACATTTACTTGAGTATTGTACTTAAGTACACTTTTTGAGTATCTGTACTTTACTTGAGTATAATTTTTTTCTGGGAACTTATGACTTTAACTTCACTACATTTGAAAGACAAATATTGTACTTTTCACTCCACTACATTTCTATCAAGGTCCTCGAAGTAGAAAGTCGTTACTATGTTTTCTTCTCTAAAACGTGACTTTCTTTTTTTCAGACAGTTTATCAGTAATCACTCTTGTAGGGCTACATGAAGAGATTTCCCAGCATTTTTTGAACACTGACCAGTTGCAAATGTGATATTTATTTACAACAATTCAATAATAAGAAGTTAATATTGTGGTATATATTAGACACAATATTGTCTGATTTTGCTGTGTAAGTGAAAATATTACCTATAAAGCCACAGAAGAACTGTTGTGTCTCCTAATAAAACACAACAGGCGTTGGACTTGAAGCAGTACCGCACAGACTGTTCTGTGTGTGACATCAAAGTACAGCGAGAGCGATCACCTATCTTCCTGAATTCTTTTCCTGGTAAAAAAGACCGTTTGAGTCTTTTCTATTGAGAACCTAAACCCCCATTCATATCCCCAATCTGCCACTTTATCAATTGCTTTCTGAACCTTCCTAGTTATGTACTCTGTATTCCTTCCTCTTTTCCACAATGCCCCATCATCTGCAAACAAAGATCTTCCAATGTCTTCAGGAACATTTACAAAGACATAATTTATCATAATAATAAATAACAGCAGACTTATCACACTTCCTTGGGGTGTTCCATTCCCAACCTCATATTGGCTTGATATTTCTGCCCCAATTCTCACTTGAATTTTCCTACCAAACAGAAAGTCTTTTATCCAGTTAAACAATTTCCCACCTATCCCTATTTTATCCAGCTTGAGTAATAACCCCTCCTTCCACATCATATCATACGCTTTCTCAATATCAAAGAATACTGCAACTACGGTCTGTTTATTTGTTTGTGCCTTCCTTATTTCAGTCTCTAATCTTACTACTGAATCCACTGTATTCCTTCCCTTCCTAAAACCACTCTGACAGCTTACCAATAAATTTATTTTTTTCCATTACATATGACAATCTATCTGTTATCATTCCCTCCGTTATCTTACACAAAGGCTTTTTCAATATCAAAGAATACTGCAACTACGGTCTCTTTATTTGTTTGTGCCTTCCTTATTTCAGTCTCTAATCTTACTACTGAATCCACTGTATTCCTTCCCTTCCTAAAACCACTCTGACAGCTTACCAATAAATTTTTTTTTTCCATTACATATGACAATCTATCTGTTATCATTCCCTCCGTTATCTTACACAAATTAGATGTAAGGGCAATTGGTCTGTAACTTGTGGGTTTAGTTGGATCTTTGCCAGGTTTCCTTATCGGAATCACTACTGCTTCTTTCCATGCAATTGGCAGTTTCCCCTCATTCCACACTTTATTATATAGCTCAAGCAACTTTAACAGTGATCCTTCCCCAAAGTGTTTTAACATTACATAACACACCTGATCCTTCCCTGGAGAAGTAGGCTTTGCTCTTTTAATTGCTCTTACCATTTCCGCCAGAGAAAAAGGCTCGTCAATAATACCACCAGTCTCTTCCTTCCTATTTAAAGCATGTACATGTTGACTCAAAGTTACTGACCTTCTCCTTCTCTCTTCTTCGGACAAATTTTCTGAAATATGTATCTTTGTAAATGATTTCGCCATAATCTCTGCCTTTTCCAGATTAGTGACACCCATTTCCTCCTCTAATATCAACACTGGATATTCCCACTGCCTCCTATCTCCACCCATCTTCTTTATCATTGACCATACCTCGCCCACAGGTGTTGATCTTCCAATTTCATTACAAAAATTCCTCCAACTTACCCTCTTTGCCTGTCGTATAGTTCTTCTCACTTCTGCTTGCGCCTTCTTGTACTGAATAAGACTCTGCATGTTATGATTCATTTTTACTAGTCTAAATGCTTTATTTCTTTTTCTTGCCGCCTTGTGACACTCCTCATTCCACCAGGGCACCAGTTTTCGATTACCTCTGTTTTTCCCCTTAGGAATAGCTTTCTCCGCTGCCATAATAATTGCTGCAGTACCTTGCTTATTTACATCCTCTTTATTTCCAGCTATATCAATCCTTGTCATTGTTTCTTCACTCATCTTCTTGAATTTATCCCAGTCTGCTTTTTCAAATATCCACTTTGGGATCCTTTCTTCTACCCTTACTTCTTGTCCCCCACCAACTCTGCATAGGACTGGGTAGTGATACCAGCGTAGTTGTTGTCCAGACCTCCCATTTACTCCTTCCAGCCAAAGTGTTGGACACTAAAGTTAAGTCTAATGCAGATTCCATTCCTGTTACTAAGTTTATCCTAGTTCCACTTCCATCATTCAAACTGACCAATCCTCTTTCATCCATCAGTTCTTCTATAGTCCTACCATTTGCATCTGTTTGTACACCCCCCCTCCCTCACATAGAGCTATGCGCATTGAAATCTGCACACCAGATTACTTTTTGTCTGTCCTGACCATGAATACTTAGTAAATTATCAAGCATCAACCTTTTACATGGATTATAGTAGTTGATAACACTTATCCCCTCCCCTCTTTCCCACACCTCCACCGCTATGAATTCCTGATTTACCCCCATTTCTAGTAACCTATATGGCAATCCAATTTTGATAAATGTAGCACACCCTCCTCCTCCTCTTCCTCCATCAATTCTATCTTTCCTTAACACTGCTTACCCATGTATTACAAAATCAAGATTTGGTTTTAGCCATGTTTCCTGAATACATAACACATCTGGTTTCTCTTCTAATTCATTTATGAAATGCTTAAATTCTTGACCATTGGCCATTAAGCTTCTAGCATTCCATTGTAAAATAATTACCATTAAAATTATTAACCAACCCATGGTGCTTCTTGGCTTGACTGAATAGTGAGGTTCTCTCTCACTTCTTCCCATGTCAGTCCTACTAGTCCTAAGTGGTTAACTGCAGCTTTAACCATCAACTGAATTTTTTCATTTTTTGATTTAACTTCTGCAGTGCTATTAATCACCCCTGCTATGACTGTAACTAAATCTCTTTTTTCCACATACATTCTTTCACTGGTTCTTTGATTTTGTTATTGTGCTACCATACCTTCTAACTCCCTTACACCATTTTCTCTCTCTTTTGATACACTTACTGCTTCAGCATAGGATATCCTTCTCTCCACTATTATCTTTTGAATTTTAGTCTCCCGTTTCATAAATTCACATCCTCCATATGCCACATTGTGGGCTCCTCCACAGCTGCAACTTTTGGTGGAACCCCTACTCCACACTTTCCATAATCATGGTCCCCTCCGCACCTAGCACACCTTCTCTGCCTGTTACAATTCTTAGCAGTGTGTCCAAACCTCTGACAGTTAAAGCATCTAATTGGTTTTGGTACAAACAACCTTACTGTATAACTCATAAATCTCAAGAATACCCTCTTTGGTATATTTTCTCCTTCAAACTCTACGGACACTGATTCACTGTCTCTCATCACTCCTTCCTTTGTTGTTTTCAGTCTTTGTACATTAAGTACTTTCCCTCCTTTTATATTTATTTTTAATTCTTCCATGCTAACATTTATTGGCACCCCCGTTATCATTCCAGTGCTTCCACCTCCTATCCGAGCTCCCACTCTTCCTGTGTTTTCCACCTTGCATTTTTCAATTTTTTTTTACTTTTAGCGCTTTTTCCATTTGCATTGCATCAGCACACCTCACCAATAGATTGCCATCATTAAGGACCTTTGCATACTCTATATCCCCAATCTTGCTAGCCAGAGTTGTTGTTAGCACCAGTGGATTAACCTTCTTCATGCTCCCCTGGTTCTTCTCATTAAATCTTATGACTACATACTTTTCCTCTCTTTCTTTCTGGACCATAGTTTGTCCATCTTCTTCACTTTCTGTACTATCATCTTGCTCATTTCTTACTCTCTTATTCCCTTTAGCTCTTTTGTCATCCATCCATCTCCTATTTTCTCCCCATTCTTCTTCTTCCCCTTCATTATAATCCATATTATTCTGCCCACCTACCCCTGATCCATTCACGGAACAGTCGTGCTCAACCGCCTTCAAATTCCGTCCTTTCGCTTACAGCGTGTTCAGTCAAAACCTGCACAAACAGTCCGCAAACAGTGCGCATGCGTCGCGACCGAATAGGTCCTCCTTCTGCTCCGGAGTGTGGATCAGATAATAGGTTATCTATTCCCTTTTCATCCATCATCATCTTCTTCTTCGGTTTTATGGCGGGTAGCACCAATGTTAAGGTGCATTATCGCCACCTACTGTATTGGAGTGTGAACCAGAGTTTACCCTTTCATAATAAGAGGACAAAAACTAAAAATAATATTTACTAAATAAAAATAAAAAAAGGTTTACTTCTTTACCTCAAGAATATTTTTCCCACTAAATTCTCTTAATCACCTCTGTTCTCTTAAGATACAAGAATAAACTTTCTAGTCCAGAAGTAAATATATTTTTAAGCTTTAAGTTATCCACTCCCATCTTTCTAAGTTCATTCTTCATTGTTTCTCATTCATTAGTATACTTTTGACAAATACAAATAACATGTTCTACTGATTCCTCCATTCCACAGTGCTCACATAATCCTGTTGGATGTTTATTTATTATTTTTAAGGTTTTATTCAGCATAGTATGCCCAACCCTTAATCTTGTTAGAATATTTTCCTCTTTGGTGCTTCTTTTAATTATCACAACTCCTACTTCTCGCTGTATTTCATAAAGTTGACGTCCTGTATCCCATTTATGTTGCCCCTCCTTAGTGGTAAATGCTTTAATTACTGCTTTTGCTTCATATTTACTAAGTGAGATATTCATGATATCCTCATTTTCCAATGCCTGTTTTGCTAATCCATCAACCTTTTCATTACCCTTTATCCCCCTATGAGCTGGTATCCTCATAAATATTATCATGATGTTCATATTCTTCAATCTATACAGATTTTCATATATCTCATTTACTATATCCTGTCTACTATGAGATGTGAATGATTGCAATGACTTTAATGCCAAACATGAATCTGTACAAAGTATAACCTTTTTGATTTGAGTCTCCTCTAGCCACTGTAGTGCTGTTGCTATTGCCATCATCTCTACGGTGTATACTGAAATTATCTGATGTTCAGTTCTCCTATTAACAAAAATGTTTAAGAATGGAATACTGAATGCAAAACCTGTCCTCCCTGTATTAGGATCTTTAGATCCATCAGTATATACTGGAACAAATACTTGATATACAGTTTGTAGTCTATCTTTAACAACAGCTACAATGTTTTCAGGTTCTTTCATTAACTCCAGCATATAAAAATCTATGAGTACTGCAGGAAACATCCAAGGTGGCGTTATTGATAACGGTACTGCAGGAATGTATCTTTTATGACTTAAAATAATTTCTCTAGCTCGGGGATCCTCAAATCTGGCCCACGAGATCCACTTTCCTTCAGAGTTTAGCTCCAACCCTAATCAAACACACCTGAGCATGCTAATCAATGTCTTCAGGATCATTAGAAAATCACAGGTAAGTAAGTTTGATCAGGGTTGGAGCTAAACTCTGCAGCGCATTGGCCCTCCAGGTTAGATTTGAGGAACCCTGCTCTAGCTTCTTTATCACTATTCCATGCAAAACACCTCTGTTTAGACCTTTCCTTTTCCCAGCACGGAAGGAGTACCTTTACTGTTGGATGGCAGTCTTCTGAATGACCTTGAAGATTTACCCAGTAGTTAATCATTAACTGCTTTCGTCTGATTTGTAACGGCATTTCACCCACTTCAACCTGAAGAGCAGATACAGGAGTATCTGTGCGTTTTAAAAGCACCACAACAGAGTCTCAAAGCTTGAGCTTGTATCACATCCAGCTTCTTCAATAAAGTTTTTGCTGCCGAGTCATAAACAATACTTCCGTAATCTAACACTGATCTAATCAGTGCTATATAAATACTTTTCATTGCAGCTCTACTCGCTCCCCACTCTGATCCTCTTAGACATCTCATCACATTTAAAATCTTTTT